GAGTCTACACTTAGAGTTATAAATAATGTGGAATTGTTGCTAGGAGGGACAAGTATTCAGGAAATTGCCTACTTTATTAGTCAAAAATGATTTTTAATGTTTAAATGTATGCATAGCATGTTCTGTGGTAATCACATTTTTGTAAATGATCTTAAGTTCCGGGAAATTTAGTTATATTTCTTATAGTGTTTTAGTCCTATTATGACTTTGATATACATTGATTTATAGATTCATCAAATCAACGGCTCCAACTAAAACAATAACAAAGAATTAGTTCCACATACATTATATTAAAAATCACATTAAACAATATGGAGAGTGGTAGTGAAAACATTGTTTTCAATTAAAAAGGATCATTTAAACAATGATTATATAGTGTTAGAATTCACTAAGGCTGCTTTTCTGGAAAGATATATTTGAACAGCAGCAGAATAAACATCTTCTATGCTTCTAGCCTAAGGGCTAACTTATAGTTTGGAAAGACTACCCTCACTTGGCGGGGAAACTTACTCTATTTTCCAATCTTTAGTCTCTGGTAAAGCAGTTAGAAAAAGGTTTTGATTGAATGTTATGTAACAAAAACAAAAACAAGAACAAAACAACACAATTCTTCAGCTGGAGTAAGTCTCAAGCAAAATGGATGTTAATAACAACTTAATGCTGGGCGTGGTGGCTCACACCTATAATCCTAGTACTTTGGGAGGCTAAGGTGGGTGGATTGCATGAGCTCAGGAGTTCGAGACCAGCCTGGGCAACACAGTGAAACCCAGTCTCTACTAAAATACAAAAAATTAGCCTGGTGTGGTGGCGTGCACCTGTAGTCCCAGCTACTTGGGAGGCTGAGTCAGGAGAATCACTTGAACCCGGGAGGCGGAGATTGCAGTGAACTGAGATCATGCCACTGCATGCCAGCCTGGGCGATTCCGTCTCCAAAACACAAAACAAAACAAAACAACTTATACTTTATGACACAAGGAGTGCTGACTCATTTCTAACTTTTACTTACAACTAGAAATGAGAGATTCATTGTTTAGGATGAGATGAGAATTGAAATTCATCTTTTTACTGAGAGTTCACTTGAATGACTGTTGTCACCTGTAGTGTGAATTTAGTTTAAGATAACTTAAGTCTGGAAACATATGCAGTTCACATATCTAAGGTTTTTCAATTTGCAAAATAAGTATTCTTGCTATTATTGCTTAATAAGCCACAGTTGTGGTTATTTCCATTTTTAGCCATATTTTCATCCATTTCATTATAGGAAGTTCTGATTCAAATTTCTGCCTCTGCTAGTTTATGAATTTGGTAGAGGACCAGAAAGTATTACAACTTGAAAACTATGTATAAAAATGTTGATTGAATTATATTTACATTTTTGAGTTGAAATATTCTTGAGCAAAAAAGCAATAATTATTCCATGATATTTCATTATGGTACATTATGATGAATCGAGTTGAGATGGATATCTTTTTAATATAGTATACTTCCTAATTTTGTAATCAAGCCATAAGTGTTTGTATTATTGTATGTAGCATCCTTCAGCAAAGCCTAGTCCTTAGATAATTTTAAAAGTATTCAACCAAATATCAATTAGTGTTTTGATGTTCAGTCATCTTGCTCGTAGCACAGTGCTGTTAATTAGATACACTATGGCTATTGAATGAAATTTTATGTTTAAGTATTTTCAATACTTCAGTAAACCTCAAGTAACTGGAGGGCTTCGGCTACTTTGTTCAGGTTTTTTTTTTTTTTTTTGAGATGGAGTCTCGCTCTGTCGCCCAGGCTGGAGTGCAGTGGCCAGATCTCAGCTCACTGCAAGCTCCACCTTGGTGGCGGGCGCCCTGTAGTCCCAGCTACTCAAGAGCTGAGGCAGGAGAATGGCATGAACCGGGAGGCGGAGCTTGCAGTGAGCCGAGATGGTGCCACTGCACTCCAGCCTGGACGACATAGCCAGACTCCGTCTCAAAAAAAAAAAAAAAGTAAAAAAGAAGGACAACTGATATTCTATAACCAAATGCCTTGGAAAGATTTGATAAAAGTGAGTCTCTCTAAGAAAAATAAACTGCTATTGAACTAGGTATGGACACATACGACTGAAAAGATTGGTGGGGACAGGGGAGAGAAAAGATTCCAAGCTTTCTGCCTTTAGGTGGTGGTTCATTGAGTAAGACAGAGGTCTCTGGAGGAAGAAAGGTTTGGGGAGAGAGATGGGTTTAATTTGGCCCATATTGAGTTTGAATTTGAAATGCCTGTGGATGTCCCAAGTAAAGGGGTCAGCAGGCATTTTGAGTGTGTGTCTTGACTCAAAAGGAAAAGAGAATCTGGGCTGGAAAATACAATTCTATATCAACATTACGTAGATGGTAAACAGAACCCCATTTCATCAACCAGAG